ATCTGTGAATTCACGATTTTAATGCTACCGTCACCAAATGCCTTGGGGTGAGCCAACTCCTTTTTGTTGCGAGTAGAATATGGGTGTTCAGGCTTAATGGCTTCAGTTGTGGGGGGGGGTACCAGTGTTGGTGTTTCTACTAGATTGGGGGGGGGTTGGGGTTACTTCCCTGATGCTCAATCTTCTCTCTTTTTTTCGCTGGCTAACTATTATATGTAGTAAATTGTACTAGGATTAAGAGTTCACCTAGCGGGGAGTCGAATATGGAGGACTTCCCGCTTGGTTGGTTGGTGTGCATTCTATCATTGCACCACGGGTGCATTTGCACACAAACATATATATATATATATATATATGCATATAAATGCATGTGTTGTTAATTAAGTAATTGAGGAATCCACTTAACTACTAACGTGTGACAATCAGTAATTCCTAATTTACCTGTTTGTAGTATATATGTATTATGTAACCAATAGAAGCGATTAAAACCAGCATGTGTTCTCTTCTGTTCTTAGTTTGCATATTGGTTAAATTTACCAATATAATCATCATTTCTTTTTAAAGCTCTTACTGCTTTCTTCTTCTTAGTTTTTTTTGTACACTGTTTTACTTATTCAATATGCAAATTGAATACAGTTCAGTAAGCAAATTTTATATATATATATATATTTTTAATGTATTACTGTATTATATATGTATGTATGTATGCATGTATCTATGCCTGTGTTATGAGATGTCATATTCTGACACAAAATACCACGGTATCCAGATAAAACTTGGGCACTGTGATGGTAGAGTATAACTCCATTTTTATTTTGATAAACTGTCACACAGTGGTGTTATACAGTAAGTACTATTAACTGATGCGACCATGTTTCGAACATAAATTATTGTCAATCATAATCATATCAAGTCACTCACTCACACAACTATTTTCCTTCATTTATATACATGTGTGGAATTGACAATCAGATATTGGAATAAAAATCAATATGGGATAATGTACATTCAGAAATAATAATTACAATCAGATGGGAAATAAGACGAGTGTTTTTTTATAGTCATAATAAGTTACTTGTTAGAAGGTTGTTCTGGTATCTGCATTGAGTCATTTCTATTGCATATGTTTGGTGTGAACTCAATGAACAAGGATTCTGTAATCAATCTCTCTCGTTCTCCACCTACCTAGATTACTTCTTAGTATCTTAACCCTATCCCCCCACCATGCTATTGTGTGGTTTTGTGTTAATGCATGTAGTGGAATTGCTGAGCTTTTTTTCTAAATTACTTATCTTCACAGGTGGGGTCAAGCATTCTTACCTTAGCTAAATTCTTATGTTCCGACAATCTGACTACTCCCAACCTACTAGTTTGACCTATGTAGTTGACTTAACTCACAGTCATTGCAGGGTATTTTGTAAATTATATTATTTTGTTTAATTGGATCCACCGAGTCTTTTAGCCTACAGAGCTTGTCTCTGCCTGAGTGAGTTTGTCGGTTTGAATGCCACAACCCTAATTCCTGCTTTATTAATGGAGTTATGCTCTACCGCAGTGCCCAAGTTTTTTACTTATATCGATAATCACTATGGGCGACAATTAGGAGTACGCCAGTCGAGAATCAAATACTAAACTACATGTGGGAGGTTGGCGACCAGTCAGTCTACCTACCAATGAACCATAGTCGAAAGTGCTTCCCTGAAGAGACGTAGTGATTAGCTTGTAAAACACAGATATCATTGTTACTTGTACATATCCTGTTTTCTAATGCATACATACTACTCAACTGTTGAAATGTAAACCTAATTATGATTTTTGCATGCTTGACAGTGATGTTATTTGACAACCAGGATATCGATTTTGAAACGTAATTCCCTGCGACATATGTATGTATACCTTAATCAGAAGAAACTAATTCTCCTTAGTTTGTGCCCATTGGAAAAGATTACCCTGATTTATGTTTCACTTCATAATCAAACATTATCTGAAGGTTGTAAAGAATAAGTAAGGAGAATCACAATACTAAAGCTGATATTGATATTTAAAAAGTCATTAAGAATGACTGACTGTCTGACTGGTTTCAACATAGAACTTTGCACAGATGTGCAGCAGCACTTCGAGTCGCCACACTCCCTCCATGTAGTACACAGAGCAAGAGAATAGAGTGAAAAGAAATGCAAAATAGAGACAGTAAACAGAGATATGAGGTAAAAGGAATAGTAATATGGAAGAACAATACAGTTTTATTGGGTATTTACAAGTCACAAGGAGTAGATGCATCGGCGTCATCTTTTGAGAACGACTTTGAGCCACATCCCTACCGATATCCATGCTGAAAATTCCATACTTGTACCAAAAATACAATGTGGAATCAAGCTGTAATTAAAAAATGACTGGCTGCTTTAAACTAACTGTTGCGTATTTAATTGACTGATGAAGTCATGTTTTTGTTCAACCATCACTACTAGCTCTTTTCCAATCTCATCAGTCCTTTATCATATAACATTACCCGTCAAGGAAGGTGATGGCTAGCCATGAGTAGCATTTGTCCTAACCACCTCAGTCGATATAACTTCACAACCTCGCTGATTGATTTCCCCTTCCTACCTACCACTCGACACCTGACCACAATATTGGTCACCTTATTATACCACCACTTAAACACGGGAGATAAAACACAGACACCTATGATCAAAGACAGCTAGCCAAGAGTTTCATGTCTTCCACAGATTTTCACAACATGTACGAAGGCAGACAGATAAATTCACAGACTGAATTAAACCTTAGCATAAATATGCATTAATTTAAGCTCTTGTGAGTCGGCGGTACAACGGTAGAATGCTCGCCAACCACGCCTCATGTGGCTCCGGGGTTTTGATCCCCAATCTACAGACGCGCTCCTTTCCCTCGCTATGCCAATAAATAAGACTGATTAAGAGATGGAAGATTGGGCATGAGGCTAGAAACCCCATCCCGTAAAAATAGATACGACTGCTACGGAAAGCTCTAGCTTGAAGTCAGCTATGCTCTACTAGGAACGTTAAAGGAATAAAAAATATTTAAAAAAATTAATTTAAGCCTGTGATAGACTGAAATGGCACACTCAAAGACGAAATGGACAGAAATCGGGAAAAAAGTTTAACATCAGAAGCAGCCTCTTAGCAACGATTGCTCTCACAACCATCAACTTATTCAATGACAAAACGAATATTTAGTCTTTAGGAGAAATGCATCTATTATTGGTTATTATGACTGACTAGGTATAAATATGTAATCAAATATTTTTTTTAATTATCCAAGATTGATAAACTAAGCATTTACAACATGTGTAGTTTTGTTACATAACAATCATAGTACCAGTAAGACATATAAACGAGCAATAATCTTTTCAATTGGATCTTATGTTTCAAGAGTTAGTTTGGGCACCAGTGTGCCTTGTTACTGGAACATTTTGGGTTTGAACCCTGGAGGTTGATGTGTACTGATGAAGAATCCCAAGCACTAGGACGAAACAACCGTCCACAATACTCCCTGGCTGTTTTTCAATGATATTTCTGTAACTAACATCATTCCGTGATCAAACTTGAAAAAAATTATTTGCATAAAATGAAGCTTTCGAAATCTACACCAGTAGCAAGACGTTTGACATTGGTTACTTCGCAATGACCATTACAGTCCTTCTTATTATTACTATTATTTCCTTTAATTCCTAGAGGAACATAGGGTTTCAGTCAAACGTCTCCTTTGCGTTCGGTTATTTGCCAACATTTTCACCTGGTTCCAAGTCTGCCCACATGCTTTCATCTCCTCTTCACATGACCTCCTCCAAGTCACCCTCACACTGACGACCCTTTCGGGTTCCATTCGAGCACTGGCTTGTCTAGTGATGTCACTTGATGGTTTGTTTTCTCAGAGTATGGCCAGCCAATCCATCTCCATTTCTTCCTGCCTATTTGTTGCATAATCGGTTCCTGCTTGGTTGGTTCGTTCACTGATAGAGATCCCTGTTGCTAATCTTTTTCGGCCATCTGATCTTGAGTAGTATTGAGTGAATACAACTGTTAATGAAGGTGTGTGGTTTGTTTGAGATGCTCTTTATGACGCGCCAAGTCTCTGATCCATGTAGTAAGTAGCACTGACTTTACATTGGAGTTGAAGAAAATCCAGATCTTATTTTTCATGCTGAGTGCTGAGTATTCATCTCCACACAGACTTGAGAGTAATGAAAGCTTGTCTTGCTTTCCCGATCCTCACCTTGTTATCCTCATCGGTTCCGTCTGCCTGTAGTTGAAACGATGCTTCCCAGGTAGGTAAAGGAGGTTGTTTCTTTCAGGTTTCTCCCATTTATGCTGGCTGATTGTTGTCTGTTTTTGCTGCTGATGTTGGTGTTGACCAGGAATCTTCATCACCTCTGTTTTCTCCATGTTCACCTGAAGTCCTACAGAGGAGGTTAGTTGTAAGCCTGTTTAGCTTAGTGGCAATGTGACTGAGTGAAGCAAATGTTGAATTTTAGAGGTTGAGTTTGCCGGGGTGGGGGTGAGGCTGCATCAATCCCTCCAAATGTTGCAGACACGCCTCGCTATAACGAGTGCCAACAAGTAAGAAAGTTAGTTCATGTCAGAGCTTCTTCCTGTCACCGAGTACCCCTTGAACCATCTACTTTAAAAAAAATGAGAAATGAATAAAATGTTTTTCGTCTTATACGTAAATCTTTGTCCTTCACCTCTCAGACTGTTGTAAATAGCCTTATTTTTCTATATATATATATATATATATATATATATAGTAAGGTATTTGTTTGCGTAAACAACCTCTGTTGGCCATTTATATCATCTCATAAATAATGAGTACTATTCATCAGACACAAAAAATAATTTAAAAAAACTTATTTATTGAAGTCTAAATTATTATTATAGTCAGAGCGAGATTGTATCAGTATGACCTCCAACTTTGTTTTCGTATTCTTCACTTTTTTTACAATTCTATTTATATTTGCTTAGAATACAACCAGTGGACCAAATGTAAAGTATAAGCCTACTCCAACGACGACAACGGCGATGGCGACGTCGACAACCACAGTAAGAAAGAGTTCGGTAACCAATGTAAATGGAATTTCAAAGTCTAATAATCGCGGTGCCTTATCCTCTACAAAAAGTTCAACAGTATTACGTACAACAAGTACTCCAGCTGCTGGTGCCACCGCCGCTGCCAAAACAGTGACATCAACAGCGAAAACAAGAACAAGTACTGTGAGTTCAATACGATCGACTGCAACAACGTCTAACAAGAATATACGATTATCTGGAGTATCAACAACAGCTGGGGGAGTAGAAAATCGATCTATTAGTAGTAGTATTATTAATAATAATAAAACCAATTCATTGACACAAAGAAGCAGACGAATAGACTCATTGTCGAATCTTACTGTGAATAGTAATACTAATGCTTCTAGATCGAATCTAACCGATCGATCTAGAGGTAGAATGTCAAATCAAAATATTGGTAGTAGTACTAGAGGTCAGTTTCGATTTTTTAAAAACCCACTTTTGCATTTATCCACCTCGGTGAATTTGAATAAAGCAAGAACATCACAGTGGAGGTTTGTGCAGAATAAGCAGATGGTACCATCATTGTCCATTTTGTTGGCTTCTCATCAGCTCAGCTGTCGCGCTTACAGCCTAAATAAATTATGAGGTTTACCTACAGAAAAGTTTTAACATACTTGCAAATTTCACATGTTGTCAGTTGACAGAAAGTTTCACAATTCGTGAGCAGTGCTCAGAAAATTGCGCTTATATAGTTTTTTTTACACGGGCAGTTCAAGTTAAAATAGAATAAATGTATCCATACAATGATAAAGGAGTTACGTAATAAAGACGAGAGGTAAGTAAGATGCAGAGTGACTAATACATTAGGTGACAATGCACTGAGGTCAACTCACGTCATAGAAACAAGAGACAAGCGAAATTAAAGATTATAAAAGTGGGTGAGGTTAAAGACAAAGAATACGTAATCAGATGAGAGAATAAAGATATCCAGTTACCAGGATGGGCAAGGAAAGACTAATAACTGCTTCTTTCTGAACACATAAATCTGGTTTGAAGCGTTTGATAGAAATAGCTTCGGAAAACTTGAGGAGAATGGAGCTCCTTTGTCTATTGATAATTTTTAAGGATTTCTCGATTTCCATCTCATGACCCGTGTCGAGGAGATGCTTGGCGATGGCACTGTTTAAAGCGTTTGTTCTCTTTAGACATAGGCTTTTTGGTAGGTGTTCAGAAAATCATAGATATTTCCTTCTTCTTTCTGTTCTTCCAATGTAACTGCTCCCGCAGATACACGTATATTTGTATACACAGTTGGAGTTAACATGAGAAGGAGCAAGTTGTTCGATAGACGGGAACAAGCTTAGCTGCAGGATATGCTATGGCTGGTGATGTACTCAGCCTTTTGTTGATCATTGCTGCAATGTTTTCACCTTTATAATCAAGTTGAATGTAGGTTGGCTCTTCACCCACTGTGACTTTTTTCACATTTGTGACTTCAGATCTTCCATACTTGTTAATGAATCTTTTAGGGTAAGCATTGCTATTCAAGATTTTCTCAAGGTACATAAATTCTTCCTCTAATTACCCTATAGAGTATATTCTCCAACTCGATCTATAGTAAAGAGTCTTGACTAGTCCGCGTTTAAAGCTATTTGGACAAAAGCTATTGAAATGCAAGGATTGTCCTTTCCATGTAGGCTTTCAATAAACTGACTTCAGGATGTAAGCGGCAGCTGATGAGAAGCCAACGAAATAAATGATGGTACCATATTATTCTGCTCAAACCACTGTTGTTGTTCTTGCTTTATTCACACACACACATTTATTATCCTTTCTATTGTTCTTTTTTTTGTTTCACATTGTAATGGCTTAGAGGAGGGGAGGTGTGGGGATGGTGATATTCCTTCAATATAACTGATTAAGCAAGGTGTAAACTGCCTGGTTGGTGGGGGGGATCCTTTAAGGATGCTAAGAACCAATGCCTGGAGACTATTGTCAATACGAATCAAAATTGTTCCCTTCATAATCGCTTATAACCATTAAACTGCTCTTTTTCCCACATAGTTCTCATCATTCTGGTTTCTTTGGAATCTCTGTCTCTTTCCTCTTTCTTTATATACTATATGGAGGGTAGCAAGTTGAGCTGCTCCACTTCTGTTCAAATCTCTATGTTGTTACGCAATCATTCTGGTGGTACATCTAATGACACTGCCGCTAGCTTATTAGGATTTAAATCTATCAAGATGGTTTTGAGTTCATCTTAATCTAAATGAGCAGTAGTAGGTAGTTACACCAAAATCACCGAACTCAGACCAGGTAGGTTACTTGCCTATCTCTTAAAACTTGATCTTGATCAATAATATGTTGACTGTTGCAATGATTCTGTTATATCAGTGAATTTCACACTTGAAGTTCAATGGCTCCCATAATCCAATATCTTCTTCACAACTTTAAGTCTCAACGAAATTACGAGGATTCCTGTTTTCTCTTGATGAATAGAAACAGGCAGCTATGAAGCCGCTACTCCACCAACTTGAATTTCCGCCCCCCCCGCCTCCCCACCCTTCGAGAAATGCCTTATCTAACTGAGATTGACAGCAAGACTTATCTTGAGGAGGAGGCCTTGTATAATAAATATCCAGTCAGCTGTAGAAACAGTGCCAAAGGCTATTGATAATGCAAAATCAAAAGTTGGTAAATGTCAGGGATTTCTGTCCCCTTTATTCGAACTGAATGACTCAAGAAGACTGATTTGGATGAGGTTCGAACATAACGAGAAGAAAGGGGAGCGTGAGGAGCGAAAGCTGCTCAAATGCTAGCTAAGCAAAAGTCTCCTCAACAACCGCAAATAGTGGTGGGCTACAAAAGCGAAAGAGATGGAAAAAAAGCATCGTTTATAGGGAAACAATTTGCAAAAGACAAATGATCGTTTAAGATGGCTAGGAAACATGTTTCGCATACCGAGCCACCTCCTTCCTCATCGAGCAATGTTAACTGACATAAGGTTAGGTTAGAAAAGAGTTTAATCAGTTGACGAGGCCTTCGATTGTTGGTTTGAACCAACTACCTAGAAAGAAGTGTAAACTGTCCGCTTGAAGTCCTCGAAACACTTTAAGTATCAATTATGGCTGGAAGTTGTCGGTGAAATGGCTCAAAACCGTTTTGTAATCTATTTCCCTTTAAATTTTCATTCTTTTTCTATCGTTCTATTCCTTCTCTTGAATCTCTTTTTTGAGTCCAAATAGCTTAGTGATAACGTCTCTGACTGCAGCACTCACTCACTCACTCACTCACTGGGTGACGCAGGTTTGAATCTCAGAAGGAACATGAGTAAGTTCCTTCAAAGTTGCAGATTCTACTCCTTGCTAACTGACTGGTGTGACTGCCAACTACTAGCACGAAACCTAGCGAAGTCAAGGCTACCTGTGGCCGATCACCTTCAACCATCCAATATCAAGTAAAGTGATTATTGATTGATACTGAAACCTTGAATCGAATCTGGATTCTTTACCAACAGGTCTTTTTTCTTCGAAGGATCATTGTATGTGTTATTTATGCATTCATCTTATTTACTAACTTTGCTTCAGTTCATTGAATTAGTGTTCCATTCTCAGATTAAGGTGAAATAGCTAGTTGTCGAGTACACCAACTGGTAGTTTTTAATGATGAATTGTCTAACTGATATGTCAGTTTGTGATGTAAACAGTAATTTAGAGTCAACCCTTTTCTGCATTAGTGGCACAGCGGTTAGGACTTTCGCCTACCATACACACAGTCCGGGGTTCGATTCCTGCCGACGAAGCACACCTGATATCAATGGTCGGCTGCAAAATTTGGAGCTACCGATATCACTTGCTGAAAATTCATACTTGTACCGAAAAATACGGTGTGAAATCAAGCTACAATCAAAATTAAATTGAAAAATTAATTTTTTTAGCTGATATGTGAATAGTGACTCAAGAGTGGGAGACAAAGACACAAGGAAAGACAGGCAATAACATTTTACATTGATAGAAATACCAAAACGCCATGGGTTTATATATATATATATATATACTAAAATTCTGGATTTTTATGGAGATTCGGCTATTAAGTTAAAGGTGGATTTCGTCACGAAACCAACAGCTGTCCAGTGCTCCCTGCTAGTTTTTCAATAATCTCACTCTAAATAATGTGTTGGTTGGTTTGTGATGAAATCTACATCGAAAGTGATCCTCTAAATCTTTTTAGTAAAAACCCATCATTTAAACATCCATATGCATCTAAAAAGCCAAGTGCTCAGTGCTCATAAATTAAAGCTTCAGACGAAAATGTTGCTTGAATGGCTGTGCTGTTTCAATAGTTCTCGCCGAAGACATTGGCTAAGAGTGGCACTATGTTGTGAATTGGCAAAGGTAGAATTCATGGGTTGGCCATTGAATCGGGTCCCAGTGGTTGAATGATATACGAGCTCGCCTTGTAACTAGAATGTCCTGGGTTCGAACCCCAGTGGGTGTGTACTGCTGAGGAGTCTCAAACGAGGACGGAACAGTTGTCCAGTACTCTCAGATTTTCCAATTGTTCTCTGACTAATGTCAGCTCATGATGAAATCCGGTAACCGATCAATCAAATCCCTATAAACCAACACTTGAAGTTCTCCTTTTGTTGTGGTAAGATGGTAGGTTTGCTTTTTGTATAACCGTGTGTCGTGATCAAGATTATTATCATCATTAATTCTCTCGGGCTCCTAGTGAGTGGAACACAAGGCTTTATATAACATCTCCATTCCATCACTCTCTACTCCGCACTCCTCTTTACCTGACTCCACGACTGTCCATAAGCCTATATCTCTTCTTCACACGACCTCCTGCGGCAAAGTTAAATTTTCAGTATCACTAGCAACCAATCAGCAAACGATCTTGAACGGACCAATCACATGAATGAGGCATTTATGATAAAGGCAAACCTATACTATGGGGGAAAAAGGCATAAAAGAAAGCATAAAATTATTACAGAGGGTATCTTTCTCTAACATCTGAGAGAGATATCTCCCAGTTAAGCATAGAACTGTCAATAGAAAAGTTACACCACATGTATTCATCCTTTTGAGATCCATTTATAGCCCTGATCCTATTTTTCAACCTTCCCCAAAATCCTTCATTAGAATTTATGTGTGTCCTCGTAATGGAATGGACAAAATCACTTGAATGGTTGACTGTATGATGAATATATCCAGAGATCACAGGAAATTGTAACCTTTTCATTCATCCGTATGTATTATTGATCCCCGTTTTACAAGTCTGCTGATAATAGATATAAGGGTAGTTGCTTTTGAATCTACTATCCTTTCGGAGGGAGGTGTCGTACAAACCAATTACCCAAATATTGTTGGCTCGCTGACGACCATTCAGATTCATATTCAGATGGTTGTATTTCTTCTTCGCCGACACAGTTTCGTCGACGTGCACAATGATGTCTTCTCCACTCAA